CACTGTCACGGGTTCTAGGTCTTCATCTGTACTCATGTGGGACACTGCTGTGGGATTCAGGCCCTTGGCTGAATATTCTGGGTCTTTAGTGTTGTAAACAGATTTCCTGCACTTTTTTGTGTTTAACTCTGGGTGGCCATCATAAAATAATATTACAAATTCTGTATCCTGATTGAAATTGTTCTTCTCAAAACCCTTGACTACCACAATTAGTGAATAAAAATAAGTAAACTTTATAAACCATGTCTTATAAAAGACCCTATTAATTGCATTAGAACAAATTCTTACTGATAAAGGCAAGTTAAGCCTATATTTATATTAAAGGCTATATGAATTAACTTACTACCAACCTAGTTTTACTGGGCCTGTTTTTAAATTTTAAGTAAATATAAGCAAATATAAAATGCTAGAATTCCAAAAAGAGTCGGCATACATAGTTTACATCCTCATGGGCAGGGCTTACCATTCTAGACTATAAATTTAACCTTATTTACTAAGTTAGAAGTAAAAGTGTTTCTTGCCCAACAACCTAGAAACACAGTGTGTGTGATAGTTACATTTATAGGTGCAGTCATAAAATAGTTGCTTAATTTTATTAACTAGAGGAGAAAATAAACGTCAAAATGCAAACGGCATACAAGTTGCCACCTCTAATTGTCTCCTGGATCAGACATACAAAAGTAAAATCTCGCTGTTTTTAATTTATGCTTATTTTTACCTAAAAGGCAATCTCTTTCCTTCTTGGGATTTAATAGGAGACTGCAACTCTGGAATCCTATCCTGTTTCAAGATTCCACACAACCAAGATTGCCTTGCAAGAGCTGCACATATATAAGCATGGCCCAAAAATCTCTATGGGAAAAACTGGCCTGATGAATTCACCCCAAGTGCAAATTACCCTGTGTTGGGCGCAGGCGCTCAACATACCATACCCCACCCGGGACTAAGGACCACGCCAGCTTCCGCAATGCGCTACGTCCCTCCTTAAATTAGCCAACCCGTGTGCACTTCGTGCTCACTCCATACTCTGTGGCAACTCCTGATTGGCCACAGCTGGATATAGTAGCCGGAGCCTACATCCCATTCCCGCCCTGCTTCCTTGTGGCAGCCTGTGATTGGTCACGGCCGAATATATAAACCAGAGCCCGCCTAAATAAACGAGCAGTTAACTGTCGTCCACAAAAGCATCTCCTGTGTCCTGTTTCATTGGAGCTGCGCCGGTCAACCCTGAGATACTGTTTCTGCTTTTTTTAAAACTAACAAGTGAATCTTATGAGTTGGAACAAAAACCCCACAGAAGTGAGCTTTTGAGAGACATTTGTGCTGGCGATGACAGCATTTTCATGGTAATTTGTAAGTGTTCTTGGAAAGAGGGGTAATTTACTCCAGTAAAATCCTGCTAATAGCCTTGCAGATTTGAGGCCTTCAATCAGGAGGTTACATGCAAGCCTTGGGTACCTGGGGCTCTGTTATGGTTTATATCTAGATGTCCCCCAAAGCCCCATGTAGTCCTAGGTGCAGAGTTCCAACGATAACTGCATTAGGGTGTGTGAATGTAGATTAAATATGTGATGCTGGATTAGTGGTGTGGAGAACGGAAGCCCCGTCCTGACGTGGGCAGCACAGAAAGAAGGCAAGCGCGGTGCTGCTGGCTGCTTCACTGTCTCCTGACGGCCTGCCATGGACTTTTCTCCTCTGCAAGACCCCTCTGCCATGCCACCTTGCTTGGAAACCAGTCGACGATGGCCTGAAATCTCTACACACTGGGAACTGAAATAAACCTTTCCTCCTTTAACTTCGGGTGTCAGATATCTGGTCTCAGCAACAAGAACAGTAACTAAGACAGGGTCCCTTAGCCTGCGACCCCGGCGCAGCACAGACCAGCTTCCCCTTTTTCAGCCGCTTCCCTCCTGCAGTACCTCAGATCCAGTGCCCAGCTGGGAAGCTCGGGTGGGCAGAAGCCATGGTGTTTGTGAGACTCAAACTCTGGAAAGCATTTACCTGCTAAGTTTCTTTTGGAGGCAGACAATCCACAACAACAAGAAGTATACACAACAGACATACACAAACACCATTCCTTTTCCCATTATAGAGTTTTGAAAAAGAGAAAGACCACCAAAAGGAGACAAAAATCACCAATAGATATTTGTATTCCATTCTCAAAGTTCTTCCTCTGTGAGCACTTTAATTACTTCATGCAAATTTGCTGTCTATGCATTCTTTTTATAAAATCTGGTTCTTCATTGCCTTGTGTAATGCACATTATATAATGTGGCTATTCCTGGCAAACCCAGGTGGTTTCCCTCGCTGGATAACTATAAATCACTTGCAGTGGAGATCCTTATACAGAAACCTTGACCTCACAGTCTAACGAGATCTTAGAGCTCGACTCTCAGAAGGACAGGGTGCAACCAGCAGACATGGACAATTCACCAACATTTATGCATAAAATCGAAGCAAACTGCTGTTCAGAAAAGCTGCGGCCAATAGCTTGTTCAGCACCAGGACAGGACAGCACAGTCCCATACACTGCCCACACTGAGTTTTTAATCTGTGCTAACCTGACAGCAAAATTACAGAGTAAGAGCCAGTGTCTCAAGCTTATGAGTATAAAATGCACTGGGAATAGCTTCACTTCTCATCACGTTAACAAACTCAACCCATTCAAGAAGCTATAAAATGAGTCTTGGAAACTCAAAGTGACCTCAAGAGCTCATGAGAGCAGAAAGTGAAGGATCTTCCCGGCCCCCTCCTTAGTGATAAACTCAGGACTGAAACCCAAAATCTCTCCATCCCCAGGCCAGCGTGCGAGCCATTGTTAGTAAAGGAACCTGCTCTGACATGTGGAAAGGACGGAGAGGTGGAGGAGTTCTTGGTGGGTGTGGTAAGCAAGCTGTTTGCTCCACAATGCTTGCGAGGTATTTTGACTTCTGCCGCCCAGAAGTTCCTCAGCCTCACCTTTTGAAAGGGAACGACACGAAATGTGAGTTGGTTTCAGAATAAACCACTGTGTTCTGAGGCGTTTGCTGAATGCCGGGAAGCAGCTACATAGATCCTATCTCCTTCCCTTGCTTTTTCCGCTCCCCTTTTTCCTACTAAACTTCAAAAATCATTGCAACTGGGAGCTCCTGCTACCCAGCAATTCTCTCACTTTCAAAATTCTCTGCAGATTGGATCACAGCATTCACAACAATACTCAGTAACAATGTGTTGGCCAAGCGTGGAGACACACGCCTGTGATCCCAGCACTCGGGAGGCTGAGGCAGGAGAATTGCTGCGAGTTGAAGGCCAGCCTGGATTACAAAGTGATCTGCACTGTGCAGGTCTATGAAATGCACAGTGAGACTTTGTCTCAATAATAATAATTCATAGGTCCCCTGCCCAAGATTTGCCCAGTCATCACGGCAGTGATCCGACGCTGAGTCATCATGGTGCCTAGCTGCTTCTTCCCAGAAACCCCTGTGGTTTCTTCTTCCCAGCAGTCTTTGCCAAAGCCTGAGCACACCAAAAATAGCCCAATCCCTTTCAAGCTCATCTAATTAGGCAGTTTACATCAGCTGCCCAATACCCTCCCCTTCAGAGAGCATATAAGCCAACCCACACCCTTGTGTGCAGAGACAGCACCGCCTGCGTTGTGGTGACTCCCTCTGTGCCCGCATTAAACTTTCTCTGTCTTGCTGCCTTTATCTCTCATCTTCTCTGCCTGCTTCAGATCGAGTGCCAAAAATACTCAACCAGTAATAATAATGTGATTAATGATAGCATTGAAAAGGGACTTAGAAGTCACCTGGAGCCCGTGAAGAAACCTGGGTGTTTCTGGGGCATTACAGTGTCTGAGACGTTTTCTCTGCCCTGATTTTTTCTTTTCTGGAAGCAGGAATCAAACTTATGACCTCGCACTTGCCAGGCAGGCACTTATACCTGCCAGGCTAAATCCCCAATCCTCTCCCCAGCTTTCTGCCCATTTGTTCCCCCAGTTCCTGAGGCTCCCCCCATCTCTGGTATAAAGAATTTATGAAAACTTCCTGTAAACTCAATCCAGGGGTCGGTTGCATTTAAAATAATAACATTTCCATTTGCTGAGTGCCGTGTTAAGTATTTTACCACCTTCTTTTCATATCTCAGTTGGGTAAATCTTATCCCCCTCTGCTGCGGGAGCAGAGCCAGGATCTGACCGTGGAGCCCGAGGACACCAGGACCAGGTCCTGACTGCTCCTCCATAACTTTAAGCCCTCTGGCTATCTCGTGGAAGGAAAAGGATCCTAGATCACCCTAGAAACCCACAGACACCCCACTCATCCGAAGTGTCAGGAAACAGCAAGCATCTTTCCACCTTCACGGCACTCCAGCTGTTAGGTTTGAGGTTTAAAACGCCCCCCAAGGCCTCACAGTTTGGAAGGTGATTGGATTCCTGGGGCGCGGCAGCAGGCTTTGTGTTAGGAGATGGAGCTGGGTTGGAAGGCGCAGATCCCTGGAGGGGTGACCTGGCAGGCTCCATCTCCCTCCCTCCACCCGCTGCTCCCTGCTTCCTGCCTCCACGCTCTGAGCAGCCCTCCTCCGCCCGGGGCCCTTGTGCCCGCCCTGCCTCCTTTCAGCCAAACACATGCTGAAAACATCAGCCAAATACCCCTGTCTTCCTCTTTAAGCTGCAGGGGCCGGGTGTTTGTCCCAGTAATAAAGTGACTGAGACCCTGGTCCTCTCTATTCTTTCCAACCTCTCTCCTTTTTTAAAAGTTTATCTAGAAACCTAACAAACTGCTAATTGATCACAGCAGAAACTGAAAACATTACTGGATGCCTTCTCCCACTGGACTCAAATGTGGGCAGTCATTACGCCAGATCCTCTCCATCCTCTAACTGAAGGTCACTGCTCACGGGGAACATTTTCATACAGCTTAATGTTTTTAAATTAGAAACAAGCCTTAAAATGTCTACCTATCTCTTTTCTTTCTAGTAGACTAATAAAAAGCTCTTTTTGATAAATTTAACCAACAACAAAATTGGCAACGTAAGTGTGTAATATTTTCAGTTGCTGGACAGCAGTAGAAGACACAGGCTTGACCCCACTTCTGATTTTGCCCCAAGCTCCTGCCTGGGAGTGCCACCTGCCACAGCCCCAAGGCCACAGGACCTGCTTGGCCTCCTTGCTTCGGGTGTCTGAACCATCAGGTAACCGGAGGCTCCTGCCACAGAGAAAATGAGAAAAATCACTGGATCAGACCCGAGAGTTAGAGCAGCAGGAAGAGCTGGGTAAAGAGGCTGGGAGCTCCTGAGGAAGGGGTCGGGACCACAGGGAAATATCCTGGTGACGGAATGCAGAATCCACCTGGGAGGGAGGGAGGGGACCACATATTCAGAGGGGAGCAGAGGGCGGCCGAGGGTCCACCAGAAGGCAGACACAAAGCAGGCCTCTCCCGTGGCCGCAGGTCCTGGTCCCAGTGCCAAGACATGTACACTTGAAGATTTGGAGGACTCTTAATTCTTTGTGATCCAGAGTTTCTTAGCTAAATGGAGACCCACAATATTCTCACAGTGAGAGTCTCAAAGCAAGGAATGCACGGGGTCACCGGCAAGAGACAGAACCGCACAAAGGCTCCGGCGTGCTTCGGTCTTTTAGAATATTAAAGATGACCACTATTATGACTTTTCCTTGAATCACACAGTCCTTGACGATCTGCCAAAGCAACGATCACACATGATCATCTGTAATTCGGGACCGATCACAGAACCTGTCCGTAGTTTTGCTGGGAAGATAAAAAGCATAAACAGGTAAAATCTTTACCTGGGTGCCTCCTGCATAACAGATTCACAATAAGTGGGATTTGGCCTGTGCTGACACTGCTACGGGAAGCGGCGTACAGCCCCGTCCAGGCGAGGGACCTCAGGCCACGCCGAAGGTCACACAGCTGATAGATGTGACTGAGGTCTCTGGCTTTGCCTCACTCACCCACCCATTCCACAGATATTCACGGAAAGCCAGGAACAGGCCCCTCCACAAAGCAGTGGGATGCTCGCTCCTCCAAGTCTCACTGTGTTCCCATCAGGTCTGCGCTGGTCAATAATCACTCTTTGTTTTGTGCCTTGAAAATGAGATCAAATTAAACCTACAAAGAAGCAAAAGATCAGAAAAGGATGCAAGTTCCCGAGTCTTAAAAGATCTGAGCTGATTTCTCCTCGCCCTCTGTCACAGCTCTGAGGACACCAGATTATAAACCTCCAGGAATTATCTTTCCTCCTGCCCCAACCAAAAGCTGTCAGCTCCGTGCGGCAGAAACTATCCCGAGTACAAAAGATGGTGCGTAATAGATGGTGTCTGACTTGAGCTGAAGAAGGGAGCTGTCTCACGTCCGTGCCAAGCTCCTGATTCTTAATACTCAGTCTAATCTGTTTTTGATGACACCAAAAAGGTTTTACTTCTCAGGTTTGGCTTTTTTGTTTTTGTTTCCTCTTTTGTTTAGAATTTTGTTTCCTTTTTTCTTTTGTTCTTTTTGTTTTTCCTTTGGCCTTTTGTTTGAACCTCCGGAATCTCCACTGGTTTCTCAGTCTAAGGAGCCCGGGGGGAGCTAAAATGGTTTCCATCACCACAAATAATCCTCGCATGCATTTTTTCTTAGTCTTGAGCTCTAAGAAGATGAGGAAAAGAAGTGAGTAAAAAGGCAGAGAAGAGAGAGACAAGGAAGTCAAGGCTGAAACAAATGTTAGAATTCATCCGTTCGAACATGACAAAGCTGAATTTAAAAATATCGGAAGTTACAGGATGCCGTTCTGTCCAACGCACTTTCCTACCAGAATGAGTGTCTGTCTGTCTGTCTGTCTGACTGATTGGGAAAAAAGTGTGTGTTCACAGACGCACACAAATACACATACACGCATTGAGAGAGAGATCGAGATACTTAATCAAAAATCACTGCGCAGTCCTTTGGAATCTTTCATTAGAAGCAGCCTTTATTGTAAAGAACGATGATAACTTCAAAATGTAAAACTGTCCATGCTCAAAGAAACTGACCAACCAGAAATAGTAGTTCTGCCTTTAACCAAAGCCAGCACTTTTGATTGGTTAAATTTTACTCAAAGTCAATTTATCTTCATTATTAATGCATTCATTCATGTCAATGCAGAGGACAGCAATTCTGAGCTCCAAACAGATTTCCGTCAAAGCCAGAGTTTACAAAGTCAACACTGCTAAATGTTAATGGGTGCTGTCTTTGTGAGCCGGGAAGCAGGAAGGTTACTAGATCATCATGAAGCTTCATAAAATTCTAAACATCAAATATTGGGAGCCAGCAGTGAATAGGTGAAGGTTTAGAGACCCTCGAGACAAACTTTCCCAAGTTAGGCTCCTCTCCTGGCTAACCCAAGCCCGAGGATTCTCTAAGCAATACCGTAAATTTGAACTTTGTGTGTGTGTGTGTATGTTTTAGCCAGCACCCTGGAATGGCAAATGCTTCCTCATCAGTGGAACCATGTAGATTCAGCAAAAGCCATCTTCCATTGAGAAGACAATTGTTTTCTATAGAGACGAGGAACAAATGCCCGTGACCCGGGTCACCTCTTCCCAGCAGGCTTTTTCTGCGGCTTCCTCTGAGCAAACACAACAAAGTCAGGAGTAGTCAATCCCTCTGCCCCACACTGAGCCCTGGCAGTCGTTGCTATTTACTCTTCCTATTAATCTGTCAATGTTCTGGTCAAACACGCAAAACAATATGGTGGGCGCATAGTTTGATCGGCCATTGCTAAGTAACTTGGTCCAAAGATGAAGAAATGGAACTTCCAATGAACAAAATGTGAGGCCCAATTTGATTGTTAGAAAATGTCCAACAATGCCAGTGCATGGCCATTTTTCAGGGTGGCTGTGATTTAGCGTCCCTCTCCCCAGAAAAAGAGTAGTCCCAGTAAATGACATTCAGTCCCAGCATCTAAATTCAGGTCATGTCGCTGTTCTTGCTCTGGGAGCAACCATCTGGGCAGTTTGTAGAGGAAGGTGTTTGTGAGGAGATGTCCTCATCCTCCAGTGAGCAGATTATTAAAGAACTGAGTTTCCTATGCAGGCGAGGCCCTGCCAACAACTGAAACATTCTCTGAACTGGAAAAGGGTCCAAGTCCTTGGGTAAATTCTTCCTAGATGAGAAAATGTGTGACTTCAGGGCTCCAAAATGCAATTCAAGGGATCAAAGACCTGAACAAGTTGAATAGCTCGTTTCCTCACCCTGAGTTCGTTCTTTGCTGCTGGCCCAGATGAAGCCCCAGAATCCTCCTGGGCACAGAGCTCCACAGAGTTGTCTCTGTTCACCTCAAAATAGCACCAAAGACAGACCTTGTGTGGCTTTCCAAGCCTGGCACTGAAAAACAACAAATCCATCAGAATTCAAGGTGTTGGACAGCCAGAACTGTCCAAGACATGTCTTGCTAGAAAAACAGAACCACTGTTTCCTGCTGGGTTTTCAAAACCTCTGGGTTTCAAAAATCCATCTGAATAAGGGTAGGTGGCCACGAATCTGCGATGTCAGGACAAAGGGCAGCACAGTGAGAAAGAATGGACAGTGAGAGAGGGTGGACAGTGAGAGAGGACTGACAGTGAGAGAGGGCGGACAGTGAGAGAGGGCGGACAGTGAGAGAGGGCGCACAGTGAGAGAGGGTGGACAGTGAGAGAGGGCGGACAGTGAGAGAGGGTGGACAGTGAGAGAGGGCGGACAGTGAGAGAGGACGGATAGTGAGAGAGGGCGGACAGTGAGAGAGGGCGGACAGTGAGAGAGGGCGGACAGTGAGAGAGGACGGATAGTGAGAGAGGGCGGACAGTGAGAGAGGGCGGACAGTGAGAGAGGGCGGACAGTGAGAGAGGGCAGACAGTGAGAGAGGGCGGACAGTGAGAGAGGGCGGACAGTGAGAGAGGGCGGACAGTGAGAGAGGGCGGACAGTGAGAGAGGGCGGACAGTGAGAGAGGACGGACAGTGAGAGAGGGCGGACAGTGAGAGAGGGCGGACAGTGAGAGAGGGCGGACAGTGAGAGAGGGCGGACAGTGAGAGAGGGCGGACAGTGAGAGAGGACGGACAGTGAGAGAGGGCGGAGAGTGAGAGAGGATGGACAGTGAGAGAGGGTGGACAGTGAGAGAGGACGGACAGTGAGAGAGGGTGGACAGTGAGAGAGGGCGGACAGTGAGAGAGGGCGGACAGTGAGAGAGGGCGGACAGTGAGAGAGGGCGGACAGTGAGAGAGGACGGACAGTGAGAGAGGACGGACAGTGAGAGAGGGTGGACAGTGAGAGAGGGTGGACAGTGAGAGAGGGCGGACAGTGAGAGAGGGCGGACAGTGAGAGAGGGCGGACAGTGAGAGAGGGCGGACAATGAGAGAGGGCGGACAGTGAGAGAGGGCGGACAGTGAGAGAGGGCGGACAGTGAGAGAGGGCGGACAGTGAGAGAGGACGGACAGTGAGAGAGGGCGGACAGTGAGAGAGGGTGGACAGTGAGAGAGGGTGGACAGTGAGAGAGGACGGACAGTGAGAGAGGGCGGACAGTGAGAGAGGGTGGACAGTGAGAGAGGGCGGACAGTGAGAGAGGGTGGACAGTGAGAGAGGGTGGACAGTGAGAGAGGACAGACAGTGAGAGAGGGCGGACAGTGAGAGAGGACGGACAGTGAGAGAGGGCGGACAGTGAGAGAGGGTGGACAGTGAGAGAGGGTGGACAGTGAGAGAGGACGGACAGTGAGAGAGGGCGGACAGTGAGAGAGGGTGGACAGTGAGAGAGGGTGGACAGTGAGAGAGGGCGGATAGTGAGACAGGGTGGACAGTGAGAGAGGGTGGACAGTGAGAGAGGACGGACAGTGAGAGAGGGCGGACAGTGAGAGAGGGTGGACAGTGAGAGAGGGTGGACAGTGAGAGAGGGCGGACAGTGAGAGAGGGCGGACAGTGAGAGAGGGCGGACAGTGAGAGAGGGCGGACAGTGAGAGAGGGTGGACAGTGAGAGAGGGTGGACAGTGAGAGAGGACGGATAGTGAGAGAGGGTGGACAGTGAGAGAGGGTGGACAGTGAGAGAGGACGGACAGTGAGAGAGGGCGGACAGTGAGAGAGGGTGGACAGTGAGAGAGGGTGGACAGTGAGAGAGGACGGATAGTGAGAGAGGGTGGACAGTGAGAGAGGGTGGACAGTGAGAGAGGACGGACAGTGAGAGAGGGCGGACAGTGAGAGAGGGTGGACAGTGAGAGAGGGTGGACAGTGAGAGAGGACGGATAGTGAGAGAGGGTGGACAGTGAGAGAGGGTGGACAGTGAGAGAGGACGGACAGTGAGAGAGGGCGGACAGTGAGAGAGGGTGGACAGTGAGAGAGGGTGGACAGTGAGAGAGGGAGGACAGTGAGAGAGGGCGGACAGTGAGAGAGGACGGACAGTGAGAGAGGGCGGACAGTGAGAGAGGGTGGACAGTGAGAGAGGGTGGACAGTGAGAGAGGGCGGACAGTGAGAGAGGGTGGACAGTGAGAGAGGGTGGACAGTGAGAGAGGGCGGACAGTGAGAGAGGGCGGACAGTGAGAGAGGGCGGACAGTGAGAGAGGGTGGACAGTGAGAGAGGGTGGACAGTGAGAGAGGGCGGACAGTGAGAGAGGGTGGACAGTGAGAGAGGGCGGATGTGAGAGAGGGTGGACAGTGAGAGAGGGCGGACAGTGAGAGAGGGTGGACAGTGAGAGAGGGTGGACAGTGAGAGAGGACGGACAGTGAGAGAGGGCGGACAGTGAGAGAGGGTGGACAGTGAGAGAGGGTGGACAGTGAGAGAGGACGGATAGTGAGAGAGGGTGGACAGTGAGAGAGGGTGGACAGTGAGAGAGGACGGACAGTGAGAGAGGGCGGACAGTGAGAGAGGGTGGACAGTGAGAGAGGGTGGACAGTGAGAGAGGGCGGACAGTGAGAGAGGGCGGACAGTGATAGAGGACGGACAGTGAGAGAGGGCGGACAGTGAGAGAGGGTGGACAGTGAGAGAGGGTGGACAGTGAGAGAGGGCGGACAGTGAGAGAGGGTGGACAGTGAGAGAGGGCGGATAGTGAGAGAGGGTGGACAGTGAGAGAGGGTGGACAGTGAGAGAGGACGGACAGTGAGAGAGGGCGGACAGTGAGAGAGGGTGGACAGTGAGAGAGGGTGGACAGTGAGAGAGGGCGGACAGTGAGAGAGGGCGGACAGTGAGAGAGGACGGACAGTGAGAGAGGGCGGACAGTGAGAGAGGGTGGACAGTGAGAGAGGGTGGACAGTGAGAGAGGGCGGACAGTGATAGAGGACGGACAGTGAGAGAGGGCGGACAGTGATAGAGGACGGACAGTGAGAGAGGGCGGACAGTGAGAGAGGACGGACAGTGAGAGAGGGCGGACAGTGAGAGAGGGTGGACAGTGAGAGAGGGCGGACAGTGAGAGAGGGCGGACAGTGATAGAGGACGGACAGTGAGAGAGGGCGGACAGTGAGAGAGGGTGGACAGTGAGAGAGGGTGGACAGTGAGAGAGGGCGGACAGTGAGAGAGGGTGGACAGTGAGAGAGGGCGGATAGTGAGAGAGGGTGGACAGTGAGAGAGGGTGGACAGTGAGAGAGGACGGACAGTGAGAGAGGGCGGACATTGAGAGAGGGTGGACAGTGAGAGAGGGTGGACAGTGAGAGAGGGCGGACAGTGAGAGAGGGCGGACAGTGAGAGAGGACGGACAGTGAGAGAGGGCGGACAGTGAGAGAGGGTGGACAGTGAGAGAGGGTGGACAGTGAGAGAGGGCGGACAGTGAGAGAGGGTGGACAGTGAGAGAGGGCGGATAGTGAGAGAGGGTGGACAGTGAGAGAGGGCGGATAGTGAGAGAGGGTGGACAGTGACAGAGGGCGGACAGTGAGAGAGGGTGGACAGTGAGAGAGGGCGGACAGTGAGAGAGGGTGGACAGTGAGAGAGGGCGGACAGTGAGAGAGGGTGGACAGTGAGAGAGGGTGGACAGTGACAGAGGGCGGACAGTGAGAGAGGGTGGACAGTGAGAGAGGGCGGACAGTGAGAGAGGGTGGACAGTGAGAGAGGGTGGACAGTGAGAGAGGGTGGACAGTGACAGAGGGTGGACAGTGAGAGAGGGCGGACAGTGAGAGAGGGCGGACAGTGAGAGAGGGTGGACAGTGAGAGAGGGTGGACAGTGAGAGAGGGTGGACAGTGAGAGAGGGTGGACAGTGACAGAGGGTGGACAGTGAGAGAGGGCGGACAGTGAGAGAGGGTGGACAGTGAGAGAGGGTGGACAGTGAGAGAGGGCGGACAGTGAGAGAGGGTGGACAGTGAGAGAGGGCGGATGTGAGAGAGGGTGGACAGTGAGAGAGGGCGGACAGTGAGAGAGGGTGGACAGTGAGAGAGGGTGGACAGTGAGAGAGGACGGACAGTGAGAGAGGGCGGACAGTGAGAGAGGGTGGACAGTGAGAGAGGGTGGACAGTGAGAGAGGGCGGACAGTGAGAGAGGGTGGACAGTGAGAGAGGGTGGACAGTGAGAGAGGGCGGATGTGAGAGAGGGTGGACAGTGAGAGAGGGCGGACAGTGAGAGAGGGTGGACAGTGAGAGAGGGTGGACAGTGAGAGAGGGTGGACAGTGAGAGAGGGCGGACAGTGAGAGAGGGTGGACAGTGAGAGAGGGCGGACAGTGAGAGAGGGTGGACAGTGAGAGAGGGCGGACAGTGAGAGAGGGTGGACAGTGAGAGAGGGTGGACAGTGAGAGAGGACGGACAGTGAGAGAGGGCGGACAGTGAGAGAGGGTGGACAGTGAGAGAGGGTGGACAGTGAGAGAGGACGGATAGTGAGAGAGGGTGGACAGTGAGAGAGGGTGGACAGTGAGAGAGGACGGACAGTGAGAGAGGGCGGACAGTGAGAGAGGGTGGACAGTGAGAGAGGGTGGACAGTGAGAGAGGGCGGACAGTGAGAGAGGGCGGACAGTGAGAGAGGACGGACAGTGAGAGAGGGCGGACAGTGAGAGAGGGTGGACAGTGAGAGAGGGCGGACAGTGAGAGAGGGCGGACAGTGAGAGAGGGTGGACAGTGAGAGAGGGCGGATAGTGAGAGAGGGTGGACAGTGAGAGAGGGCGGATAGTGAGAGAGGGTGGACAGTGACAGAGGGCGGACAGTGAGAGAGGGTGGACAGTGAGAGAGGGCGGACAGTGAGAGAGGGTGGACAGTGAGAGAGGGTGGACAGTGAGAGAGGACGGACAGTGAGAGAGGGCGGACAGTGAGAGAGGGTGGACAGTGAGAGAGGACGGACAGTGAGAGAGGGTGGACAGTGAGAGAGGGTGGACAGTGAGAGAGGACGGACAGTGAGAGAGGGTGGACAGTGAGAGAGGACGGACAGTGAGAGAGGGCGGACAGTGAGAGA